ATGGTGACGATGATGGTGACGATGATGGTGACGATGATGGTGATGATGATGGTGATGATGGTGGTGGTGGTGGTGATGATGGTGATGATGATGATGGTGGTGGTGATGGTGATGATGATGATGGTGGTGGTGATGATGATGGAGATGGTGACGATGATGGTGACGATGATGGTGATGATGGTGGTGGTGGTGATGATGGTGATGATGATGATGGTGGTGGTGATGATGATGGAGATGGTGACGATGATGGTGACGATGATGGTGATGATGATGGTGATGATGATGGTGATGATGGTGGTGGTGGTGGTGATGATGGTGATGATGATGATGGTGGTGGTGATGATGATGGTGATGATGGTGATGATGATGGAGATGATGATGGTGATGATGGTGATGATGATGGAGATGGTGATGATGATGGTGGTGATGATGGTGGTGATGATGATGGTGATGATGGTGATGATGATGATGGTGGTGGTGATGATGATGGAGATGGTGATGGTGACGGTGGTGGTGATGATGGTGATGATGATGGAGATGGTGATGATGGTGATGATGGTGATGATGATGATGGTGGTGATGATGATGGTGGTGGTGATGATGGTGATGATGATGGAGATGGTGATGATGATGGTGATGGTGATGGTGATGATGGTGATGATGGTGATGATGATGATGGTGGTGATGATGATGATGATGGAGATGGTGATGATGATGATGGTGGTGATGATGATGGAGATGGTGATGATGATGGTGATGATGGTGATGATGATGATGATGATGATGGTGATGATGATGGTGATGGTGATGACGATGATGGTGACGATGATGGTGAAGGTGATAGTGATGATAATGCTAGCACATCTGCAGGGCTGGGAGGAACAATGAGATGACAATAGCTATTGCTGTGTTGACTTTTTGTGGCCATATGTAGGGTTTTCTTGGCAAAGACACCGGAGTGGTTTGTCATTTCCTTCTTCAGCTCATTTTACAGATGAGGAAACTGAAGCAAACAAGGTTAAGTGACTTGCCTAGGGTCACACAGCTACTAAGTGTCTGAGGCTAGATTTAAATTTGGGTCTTCCTGACTCCAGGCCACATGCTCTATTCATTGCACTACCTAGCTGCCCAGTAATGGCTGTAAAGGATTTCAAAAACTTTAAAGCACTCTAGGAATGTGAGCTATTATTATTATTATTATTGTTGTATATTAGGATCACAGATTTAGAGCTACAGGGGACCTCAGAAGCCATCTTGACCAACTGTTGTTTGTCCTTTGTTCTTGAAGAGGACCATGACATCAGGAAGGTCATGCCATGATACACAAGTGAATGGGATTACAGTGAGGCAGGGCTGTGCAAAGTCACCAGCTTCACTTTCTCCTCTGGAGCCCTCTGGGTCCTGTGGCAAGCCATGGATCAGGATGACTGGAGATGGCCCCAAGTCTCAATTTGACTGAGGCAAGGCGCATTCATTGATTAAGGCTTAATAAGAAATGAGCTGGAGAATGACCTCTTTACCTAGTCTTGACTAACTGCTCACTTTACACTTAAGGAAACTGAAGCCCACTGAGTTTAGATAACTTGGCCAAAGTCACATAGTTAGTCAGTGGCAGAGCTGGGATTTGAATCCAGGTTCTCTGGGTTTCAGGACCTGCATACCATTCATTTTATCATGTTCCCTCTAGTGGCCTGGGTCACAAGGAAGTAGGCAAACAGGTCATTGGGTGGTGAGTAAGCCAGAACATAGGGGAGACCTACTGGACAGTTTGCCAGGCTTTGTAGGGGCTTGAGCTGGGGAAGTTTGGGCAGTAGGGCCAAAGGCTTAACAAACCCTGTGCCCTGCTGCTTCTCTGTTTGATTTGTTTATGTCCGGATGATAGGATTTTGAATTGCCAGGGACCTTGGAGATGTTATCTAGTGCAGGGATTCTTCACCTTGTTTGTGTCCTGGACCCCATGGGCAGTCGGTTTAGCCAGTCCCTTCAGAGAATCATGTTCTTTTTTTTTTTTTTTTTGGAATCATGTTCTTAAATACATCAAATTACAAAAGAAACCAATTAGATTGAAATACTGTTGTCAAAATATTTTTAAACAAGTTCATGGACTCCAGATTTAGAACCCTTGACCTGGTGCAACCTTCTCATTTTACAGATACTTATCAGAGATGTTAGGTGGTTTACCCATCGTGCCACAGTTTATAAATATCAGAGCCAGGATTTCATTCCAGGGATTAATGTTCTTTCCACTATACTACCTTGCCTGTCTTATCTCAACCCAACTAGAGTCTAGTGTCTTGGAAAGCAGGGACCATAACCTCTACTGTTTTGTATTTTCATCAGTACCTAGAATACTATATGGATAAGGAGAGGAATTAGACCTGTGGTTTCGCTGGCATAGAGAACTCTCAGGTGAGGAAACTCTCTCCATCAGTACAGGTGGGCACCTTCTAGACAGTTGCATAAAGTGCTTAAAAGTGACCCGCCAAGGTCCACACAACTAATATGTGTTTGGAGCAACTCTGAATCCAGGTGTTGTCCTGGCTTTGAGGTAGGCGCTGTAAATAATTGCTGCATGAATAAGTGAATAAAGGAGCTGCTACCAGAAGGGTTTCTGGACACAAAGCATTATCTCCCCACCCTCCTGCCCAATCCTATGTCTCTTTCTGTTTAATACCCAGCCTAGTTATTGTCTTGTGTGCCATCTCCAGTAGCCAGGGTTCTCCAGGGTGGGCCAGGTCCAGGGGGGAGTGCGCCCCTTCAGTGCCTGCCTTGGAGGCTCCATACAGCCCTGCATGTAGAAAGTCAGAATGTAGCAGATTGTATGTTCCTGCTGTGACCCACTCTGGGCAGGTTTGGGCTTGCCCGGCTTGGCATGGCCATGTGGCATGGTAGGTGGGGCAGGGCTGGGGCTCCGCTCATTCTGACTTTCATACACTGAGGACCTCTAGGGGCCCAGGTGGCCAGATCAGTTTGTGATTTGATTACAGGCTTGGTAATAAGCACAGGAAGTGGCCACATCTCATCTTAATGAGTAAGTTCACTGGCGTCTGTTTCCAGGACCACGTATCCCAGGAAGGAGGTGGGTGTGTCTTTGGGCAGTCTAAGACTTGACCTCTAAGTTTACCACCCTGTATGTCACTGTGGCCTCAGTTTCCTCATCTGTAAAATGATGAGAAATAACTGGATGGTTGGGGAGGGTCCCTCCAAATTCAAGTTCTAGACTTATGAGCTTATTCTAGGTATTGACTAGTTAAGAACCCATGAGAAATATACAGCTTTTGAGTTGGAGTGATGCAAAGAGGAGGGCCGAGTGCCAACGTGGAAGGTTCCTCGCCCCTTTCTGTGCCTACATTTCACAATCTGACTCTAATCTACCTCTCCTTCCCGCACATGCACCCTGCATTCTAGCCAAACAAGTCTATTTGTTATTTCTGGGACAAGACATTTCCTGCCTTTGTGCGAGCTGCCCCCCATGCTGGGAATGCTCTCCCTCCTCCACTCCTGCCTCTTGGAATACCTGACTTATTTTAAGGCTCTGCTTAAGCACCACCGCCTTCATGAGACCCTTCTTAATGGCCCCAGGAGTTATTTCTCTTTGGGCTCCTTTCTCCATTAATTTGTGTATATTATCTGTTTGTTTGTGTCCTACCCTGTTTACAACTATGTCTTCAATCATACTTGAATTGATTTTCAGGGTTTCTGGTACTCTCATTGACAAGCTCCCACTGGTGTGTTTCCCATTAATATCAATCAGTTAGACTTCAGTTAATTTTTAGGGGGGTAAAAAGGATTTACTATAAAAGTCATGGCATTTAAAAAGTTCAAGAGATATAATTTCTGGGTAATTTAATCATTTTATTAATAATGCCAGTATATTTATTAATAAAAAGATGGTCATTTGGCCATCTCTCTCTTAGACCAAAGGCAAACATGGTGGCAGGCTCATGGCTTCTATGCCCTTGGAAGAGGAGGGTTCCGGAGGGTGGCAATCAACTCTGATTGGTTAAGAGCTAATGAGAGGTGGACTTTATGAAGAGACGTGAGCTCACTCCAGTGAGGGGCTGAGAGTGACTCCGTGTCACTCTTGGCCAGAGCCACCTCCCAGCTTTGGGCAATCTAGACAAAGAACCTATATGTCCCCTACCCAAGCCTGAGATAGTTGGGTGGAGTAGCAGTACCCAGAACGAGGAGAACGTTAATCCTATCTTCTATCAGCCCTGTTCTTGAGAGATTAGATGAGGAAATAGAATGGGGAGGGGGAGGAGTGGGGACTAGGGTCTCCCTGATTTCTTTTTTTTTTCCTTTTTTTCCCCCCATTTTGTAATTGGTCTCTCTGATTTCCATAATTGGCTATTAATATTAATATGAAAGAGAAGTAATCATTTCTCTCCACATATAGCAAGAGTACTTGGTATCCAGTATTCCACCCCCCTCCTCCCCAAAAAAGTAGGGGGAACATACTCTCTTCACACGTGTAGGGTCCCAGACAGAGCGACCTTGAGGTAGAATAGTACAGTGGAGGGAAAGTGAGGCTTGGGATTGAGACAATCTAGAACTCATGGGTGGGGAACCTGGGGCCTCAAGGCCACACGTGGCCCTCTAGATCTTCAAGTGTGGCCTTTTGACTGAGTCCACACTTCACAGAACAAATCTCTTTAATAGAAGGATAAAACTTGGACTCAGTCAAAAGGCCACACCCAAGGACCTAGAAGACCATATGTGGCCTCGAGGCTACAGGTTCCCCACCCCTGATCTGGTTCCTGTCCCATCTCCGACACTTACTACCTATGTAAGCCTTCTCAGCCTCCTCATCTGTAAAATGAGGCGGTTGGACTCATAGCCCCTCCATTCCCTTCCAGCCCTAAATCTGGGATCCTCTGAAAAGTGAAGACGCTGGCCTTGGAGGGGGTGGGTGGTTGCTAGAAGCAGATGCATTTGGAAAGCATTGGAGATGCTGGAAAGTGGCTTCTTATTCACAAGGGTGTGCTCTCTCTTGCCAGAGTGTTTTACCCTTGGCTGGATTCTCCCTCAGTGAAGATGTCCCAGTCTTCCTCGGCAGATGAAGGAACCACGTTTGAACACCTCTGGAGTACTCTGTGAGTTTCCATCCAAATCTCTTTCCTTGGGAGATGAAGTAGAAGGGTAGGGAGCTGTTTCCTCAGCTCATATTAGGCTCAACCATCTCATCGGGTCTGGTGTCCAGTTGTAGGTAGATGGGCACATGTGGGCAGGAGCTGCAGCTAAATGGAGCACCCGTGCCAGGGCCTTTCCTTAGGATGTATCATGTAAAACTAGGTACTTCCTAGTAGTCCACAAGTAGGCTAATTGCCCTCCTTATCGTCCTTGGTGATGTAGAAAAAGACCCTGATGACTGAGGAACAAGGTGGGGTGGAAGGCTGGGACACCAAGAAGTCATTTGGAACACTGCTGGGAGAGGTGGCTGGGGGTGGAGGGCGTGGCCAGGGTCTTCAAGCCTTTGAAGACTTGTCAAGTAGAAGAAGCATTAACCTTGCTGTACTTGGTTCTAGTGGTGGGAATTACAGAGAAACCAAATTTGGCTTCAGATAAGGAAAAAACTTTGTACCAATTAGAATTGTCCCCAAAGAGAATGCCTTGGGAGGTAGTGAGGTCCCCATACCTAGAGGTCTTCACATGGAAGAGGGATACTCACTTGTCTGGGGAGAGGATTCCTGTTCAGATGTAGGTTGGACCAGATGAGCTCTATCACAAACTTAGGTTCTTCAGTTTGAGAAGAGGATCAGGAGGTGGGGAGAGAACAATGAGGAGAGAAGAGGAGAGGAGAAGGGGGGAGAGAGAGGAAAAGAGATGAGAAGAAAGGATGGGAGAGGACTGGAAAGAGGAGAGGAGAGGAGAGGGCCAAGAGGAAAAGAGAGAAAGGAGAAGTGAGGAGAGGACCGGGAGGTATACAGAGGGCAAGAGGAAAGGAGATGATAGGAGAGGAAAGGAGTGAGGGAGGGGGTGAGGGAGGGAGGAAGAGAGAGAGAGAAAGAGAAAGAGGAAGAAGAAGAAGATGAGGAGAGGAGGAAGAGAGAGAGAGGAATGAAGGGGAGAGAGAGAGGAGGGAGGAGGGAGAGAGAGAGAAAGAGGAAGAAGATGAGGAGAGGAGGGAGGGAGAGAGAGAGGAGGGAGGAGAGGGGAGAGAGAGAGAGAGAGAGAGAGAGAGAGAGAGAGAGAGAGAGAGAGAGAGAGAGAGAGAGAGAGAGAGAGAGAGAGAGAGAGGATAAAAAAAGAAGAGAAGACAGGGAAGGGAAGAAAGGAGAGGAGAGCTGAGGAGATGACCAGAAGGTGGGGAGAGGAGAGGAGGGGTGGGGAGGGGTGGTCTAGAAGTACATAGGAAGAAAAGTAAATGGGAAAAAGTTTGAAGCCAGGATACTCTCAGGTCCTTCACAGTGACGAGATTAATTTATACCCTCTCCCCCCAAACACCCCACCTCCTTTCCATTCTCAGTTAACTCTAACCTTGGGCTGGTAGGTTAGGATATTTAGACCAGTGGTTCAAGTAGGGCTAAAGGCTTTCCTCATCTTTTCTCAGGGAGCCAGACAGTACATACTTTGATCTCCCCCAGTCCAGCCAAGGAGGCAGTGAGGTGGTGGCTGGTGGGACTGTGGTCAGCATGGATGACTTCCATATGCAGAGCATGAATGAGTCCGTCATGGTAAGTGAGGTCTCTTAACTGCTGCAGGTGAGACAAAGTGCTCATAGCAGGGTTGGTTTTTCCTTGGAAGGGTAGCGTGACTGAGCTAATGAAATGGCAACTTGGATGTTTGGCCCAGTTTCCCATTGCCCCTACTACCCATGTCCCTTTAAATGGGTGAGATCATAAAAGAAGCTGGTCAGATCCAAGTTCCCTAAATGACCTCTGGATGACTGGGCTTCTCCTCTAGGCAGGAATGTCAAGATGTAGGGTGTCTGGATTGGGAACCAATTCAAACTCTCATTATCCCCTTTCTTCCTGACCACTCTGTGTCTGAGCCATAGAGTAAACTGGTTGTCTTAATGGCAAGCAAGCATGATTAAGATTATGGGCTTGTAGGACAGATTGCAGGACTGCTGGGGTACTGGGGTATTGGGCTTGATCACAGAATGATCAAGGCAGGAAAACTAGCATCTTCCTTCCACATTAGCCACTCTTTCCTGCTTCTGACATCTTGGCCCATTCATTGCTGCTCCCACCCAAAATGCTAGTTTCATTCTGAGCCCCTGGATAGAGTGTTAAATTATGGTTAATACTTCAGGTGTTATCCCTCCCTGGACTATTTGCATTTCAATAGAGAGCTATGGAAAAGCTTTCCAAATGGAAAAAGATTTTCAATGGTGGACTATCTGCTACCATCTAAACCATTCCAATAAACACTTATTAAGTTTTTATGATTTATAACACACAGCCCTGGGGCTACAAAAACAAAACAAAATAAATCATTCTCTTCCTTAAAGGATCTTACTTTCTACTGATTGGGAGGTTGGGGATGATGTACACTATGTGTAGAACTAAGTAAATATGGAATAATTGGGAAAGAGAGAAAACACTAATATTTAGAAGGAATCAGGCAAGTCTTCCTCTGGGGAGAAGCTGGACCTTGAAAGGAGCTAGGAACCAGGTGTGGTGACTTATACCTTTAATCCCTGCTACCAGGAAGGCTGAGGGTGGTGGATGTCTTGAGCTTAGGAGTTCTGAGCTCTAGTGGGCTAAGCCAATATGGTGTCCATACTAAGTGCAGAATCAATATGGCAGTGGGTGGAGGGGTGAACAGGTTGCCTAAGGAAGGGCAAACTGTCCCAGGTTGGAAATGGAATGGGTTAAAGTTCCCACACTGATCAATAATGAGGTCCTGACTGTGAGTGGCCAGTGTACTTTCAGAATAGAGAGAGCTGGCCTTTAAAAGGAGGAGGAAGAAGAAGATAGACGCTAGGGATTCTAAGATGTGCATGGGAGGTGGTAGTGGGAGCCTGTGCATGCGTGGAGACTGGAGATAGAATTTTGACTATATGACAGGGTTCTATTAAAATCTGTCTGGAAAGACAGGTGGGAGCCAGGCTGTGGAGGACTTTAAATGCCTGATGGAGGCATTTACAGACTGTATTTTATCCTAGAGAAAATAAGGAGCCTTTGAAGATTTTTGAACAAGAAAATGGCATGGTCTTAGGTGTATTATAGGAACTTAAGTGTGATATCCATGTGAAAGACAGGCTAGAGAGGGCAGAACATAGAAGAAAGGCACCCAATTAGGAGGCTATTGACATAGTCTAGGAGAAAGGAGAGGTGGTGAAAGTGTGAAGGAGGGTCCCAAGAGGTCAGAAGGAGCTGTAACTGAAAAGGCTCAACACCCAATTGGCAATGAGGCGGGACAGAAGGAATAGCAACAGTCAAAGATGGTTTCAAGGTTGTGGACCTGGGTAACAGGAAGGGTAGTGGTACCCTTAACAGAAACAGGAAAATTTGGGGATGAGATATATTTAGGGAGGAAGAAAACGAATTCTCTTTTGAACACGTTGAGTCCGAATTATACCAAGACATAATTTGGAGAAAGGAGGGCTTGCCCAGTATACCTCATGCTGTATGACCTTGGGCAAGCCACTTAACCGCCTTGGGCCCCTGTTTCCTCCCCTATAGAATGAGGGTATTAGACTAGATGCTTCTGAGGTCTCTTTCAGCTCCTTGGCTGTGATGCGTACTCTGTCTACTTTTAAGGCCACACTTCCTAGAGTCTTGTGGACATCAAAGGCCCTACATTAGAGAACTCATTGCCTCATAGAATCTTGGGGTTGGAAGGGACCCTAGAATTTATTTAGTCCATCTCCCCACCCCAGGTAATGCAACAGAAAATGATGTTTATTATGAATCACCCGATACAAGAATCTCTTCTGTGGAACCGCTGGACAGATGGTCAAATGTTTCTCTGTTTGGACCCTCAGTGGTGGGGAGCTCGTTATCTGAGAGGGGAGCCTGTGCATTGCTGGACAGCTCAGATTGTTAGAAAGTCCCTCACTATGCTGAGCTGAAATCTGCTTCCTCAGAACTCAATAGGAGTCTTAGCGAGCAGGAAAAAGTAGGATGGGCACGGAACCATGGACACCATCTCTGGGCCTGTCATGGAGCACGGTCACTGTTCAGCTGCCCGACTAGCCCCTTGGGAGAAATGAAGGCCTCACTGGAGGCCTGGAGAATTCCAACCTTGCCTTGGGGGATGAAGGGAGTGGAGAACCTTATTTCCATACGGGTGGTGTGTGTGCTGGCTCCCTCCTGTCTCCCCTCCCCTCCCCCCCCCCCCCCCCCCCCCCCGACCCCAGCTGGAGTGGAAGGAATCTGTTCTAAGCCTGGTGAGTCAGGTTCAGGCCAGGATACGAAGAGTGCTCTCTTGCCTGCTCGGGCACGCAGCTTGCTGGGCCCCACGCTATAATGAAGGTGGAGCCCTACCCCTTTCCAAACAAAAATAGAGTATAATTTGTTCAGGTATAAACATGCCTCATAGTAAAAAGCCATTTATGAGATATTTACATGCATAGCACACTTAATGGCAGTGGGAATTCCCGGCATAAATTGCTGGCTCAAACTTGGGGGTTTGGGAGGGGGAGGGGTAAAGAAGGCTGAGCCAGGCTGGGCATGGGGAAAAGGTTAGTCAGAGGGTTAGCTTGGTGATAACGGGCCAGAGCAAAAGGCAAAGTCCAGGAAAGAGGGCAGAAAGAGATGAGAAGGCGGAAATGGCCCTGAGACCCCATAGGGAAGCAGAAAGGGACAGTGAGCAGCAGTTTGGGCTGGGGAGATGGGGGAAGGGGATGGGGTGGCTGAATGATGAATGGAGGACCCATGGACATTGTGGGTAGTCTGTGCTGGTCACAACATAGAGTATTATACACACACCCTGTGATTCTGAGTCACTCAGCCTCCTATAGGGCTCAGTTTCCCCATCTGTATAATGAGAGTGTTGGGTTAGGGGCCTCTAAGATTTGTGCCAGCTCTAGAGATGACCAAGTGACCTTCTGTCGTACTATGAAGAAGGACTTCCATTGTTTACATGTCCACAGAATCATACGCCTAGAGCTAGGAGGACCTTCTCCATTCTCTCCTCTTACAGATGCGGACATTGAAATCCAGAGTGGCTTAGCAATGTGCCGGAGGTCATACAGACAGTAAATGGCAGAGTGAGGATTTGAACCCGGGTCCCCTGCCTTGAAATCCAGCCCTCTTCCCAGTGCGCCACAGGGACACTGGTCATGCTGTGATATGGTGGTGACCGGGAGTTCTCAAAAAGTAGGCCCAATGAGTTAAGATTTTGGTTGGTAGTATTCAGTCGGAAAGGATTTGTGTAGAGGTGCAGCAGTAGACTGCCTCTAACAAAGGTGCGCTGGAGACTGTTCAAACTGAGCTGATTGTTAAATCTTTAGTGTGAACAATTAGCTCAGAAATCAGTGAGCACTATATAAATCAGAGCCTGATCTATTGTTTTGTGATGGTTTAGACTTAAGAAAGCGATAGAGAAAAATAATAATACAGAGTAAACAGAAAAGTGTGGACATTTTCAGAGAGCTGGTTGTTAAACATTTACCAGCACAACCGTGGCTCTGGCTAAGTGGAAAAAATCATTACCTAATGTTAAGTCTGTAGAGGCCACCAGGTAGGCTAAGGCCTGATGTTCATACTGTATAAGGATTAGGTGAAGGAACTGGGGATATTTAGCCACAAGAACAGAAGTCTCAGCTAAGTCTGATTGGTAGCGGCCTCCAAGTAGTGGATAGAGAGGAAGCCTTGAGGTAAAGACTTGGGCTCAAGTGCCCCTCTGACCCCTCCAGCCTGTGTGGCCTGAGCAAGTCACTGAAATGTCTCTGTGCTTGGGCCAGCTCTCCTTTCTTTTTTTAAAAGTTTATTATTCTGAACTTAACAAACATCCAATAAAATGAGCATTTCCATACATGCAGTAGAACAGAAACAGAAGATTGTAACTGAAATTGTAGATCTCTATTAGGTACAGCTGGCTTTTCTTTTAAAAATAGAACATTCTGCATGGAATTTTCAAAGCTGTCCTACTTGTCTGCCGTTCTTTCTGGCCTTCCTTCTGTTTTCTTCTGCTCACTTGAAAATGTCACCTTTCTTTCTCCCATCCTTCCTTTTTTCCTTCCTTTCTCTCCCTCGTTCTTTCTTTCTTCCTTTCCTTCCTTCCTTCTCTTTCTCCCATCCTTCCTTCCTCTCTTCCTTCCTTCTTCTTCCTTCCTTCCTTCCTCTTTCTTGTCCTTCCTTTCTTTTTCTTTCTCCCTTCCTTTCATCTTTCTTTCCTTTGTTCTTTTCTCTCATTCTTTCTTCCTTTCTTCCCTTCCTCCCTTCCTCCCATCCTTCCTTCCTTCTTTTTTCCTCCCTCCCTCCCTTCCATCCATCCATCAATCCTTCTTTCCTTTCTTCCTTCGACTGAACATGAACACACATGTGTATCTAAGTGTGTGTATGTGTATGTTTGTGTGTGAATTCCTCAGGTTTTGCATTTGTAAAATGAGGGAGTTAGACTTCATGGCCTCTGAGCTCCCTTCCATCTCCAAACCCAAGATCTCATTGATCTTAAGTTTCTACCTGGTGGCTATTCAGCCATTTCACTCGTGGCTAACCCTCTGTGACCCCCTCTCCCTGCTCTCTCCCCTCACCCTATGCCTTTCTGGTAGGGAACACAT